AGACCTATAACGCTCTTAACACTGACACACAAGATATTAGCAAAAGCATTGGCCAATCAGTCGAGGAAGGTCGCCCAAGGCTTTTTCCACCTAGATCAAACCGGCATTATATCCAGGAGATTTATATTGGACAATGTTATGACATTAACAGAATCAGTGCGCCACATCAAGGACAAGAGGATCAGCACAGCAATATTATTCTTTGACTTCGAGAAGGCTTACGATCAGGTGAACTGGAATTTCCTTCAACGCTGCATGGAGAAGAGGGAAGTGGCGCCTAACTTCAGAAAGTGAATAAGGGTGCTGTACAACGACGCCCACAGACAGGTGCAGGTCAACGGGTATTTGTCAGGAAGTATAGAATGTCAAGGTCAGTGTGCCAAGGAGACCCCCTGGCGGCACCAATCTTTCTTTTCATAATTGAAGAGGTGGCCTCCTTTCTCAGGAAGAACCCATCAATCCAGCGGCTGCTGGGGGAGCCAGCTCACCAAGGGAGGACAGTGGCCATTCCGACAACAATCGTGCTCGCAGACGACTTGACAGTTCAGATCTGAGCATCGGACTCTTCATTCGAGGCCCTGACAAGGCTAGCTGGATAGTAACCCGGCGGGTTCTAAATGGATGAAATGCAAGCAGCCTTTAAGGTACCTCGGAATCAAGATTACGGAGGCGGGTCCACCTCACTCAATTTCCCCAGAGATATTGGCAAAGATCCTGGTCAAGCTGGGCACATGGCCATCAGTCTATACGCCACTCTTTGGGAGAGCGTTGATAAGCAATGCCTCGATCTTCTCCATGCTATGATACGCAGGCACAGTATGGACCCCACCGGTGCAAGCAGCGGCAGAAGTACGAAGAAAGGCGGCGGCGTACCTCTGGACCTGTCTCTTATACACATCTAGATGTGTATAAGAGAGTACCTCTGGACAACCAATCCGTCCAAACACCACTACATATCTACAGTGGCATGGAAACATGTCACCAGGAAAAAGGAGAAAGGAGGACTGGGGATAATTCATCCGGAGCACACATCTAGATGTGTATAAGAGACAGATGCGGGGTCAATATGGACTCCACCAAGGACTGCGGCGGCATTATTGAGAAGAAGAGCGGCGATATATCTTTGGACATCCAAAGTTACCAACTCACGCTTTATATCCAAAGTGGCATGGAAACATGTCACCAGGAAAAAGGAGAAAGGAGGACTGGGGATAATTCATCCGGAGCAGCAGCTGAAGGCCCTCCAAACCAAGTGGATGGTCAAGCTCCCCACCTACCCGATCAGGCCATGGACCCCGTTTGCCCTAACACAGATCAGGAGACGGGCTAGATTTACGACACCGGCCAACATGGTGGGAGTCCTCTTGCTAACATGTATGGGTTGGGCCAAAACGGTAAGAGAAGACAACGACGAGGATGGCGGGCGGAGGGATGGCCAGGATAACAAGTGCTGGGGGCAACTCATTAAATTGTGGGAACCTAATTTTCCCGGCCAGGGTCAAAGAGCCCCGTTCAAAAGAGAAGTCCTACGGCAACCGCTATTCTGCAATCCGTGGATAAAGGACAACCAGGGCAAACCCAGAACGCTCTCTGCCCGGGATTCCAAAATGGGAACATAGGTCGAGCATGGAGTCTGGCAAAAGAAACACCTATGGGAAGAAGACAGGAAGAGGTGGAAAACAGCAAGGGAATTGAGAGCGGAAATGAAGGGGAGCCACAGACTGTTGGAAAATCTCAATGATGTGCTGGTTTCAATTCCACAAGAATGGAGAACGCTGTTGGAAAAGGGGACAAGAGGACCCAATGGGAGAGTGGGGATTGGGCAACCTGGCGGCAGGAGGAAAAAAACGAGGTAGCATTCCAGTTTACAAAAAGGAAGGCCCCAGGGGAGACTGGTTAAATACAGACATGTACACAGCGGTACATCCAGGGGCGGTCACCAGCGAGTTGGACAAGGACTCCAGAACTCCAGTTGCTATCAAGGCGGAACCGGTCAGGAAAACAACAGTGGAGACGGAGGAATTCGCCATTTTTTAGCCCAAAACCCCGATAGAAAATTTAGAGTTGGGGACGGAACATGAGGAGTGGGACAAGAAAATTTGCTAGAAAAATAAATGTCCTAGAATACACGACACGGCTGGGATACAACCTGAGAACGCGCCCCAGCCATCTGCGGGGAGTGTTGTCTAAGCACTGGGCTGACAAAATGGGAATGGAGTTGACCAGAATCCTAACAATGTAGTGGTCCAACCGGTCTCAGATCAGGTTAGGGAAGGTCAGAAGTCTACAATGGCTGATTATGCATCTGGTTTTGCCAGTAAATGGATGGCTCAACGTCCATAGGAGCCAGCTTCACAGGGATGAGCAAAACGAGAAATGTGCAGTTTGCAGGGAAGGAGCAACAGAAACAGTGTCACACTGCCTTCTAACTTTCCAAGAAGCGCAGACAGTGTGGGAATGGCCAAGGCCTTATGTGGGAAGGTGTCAAGCCAGCCGTTTCCGGGAGACACAACAAAGCTGCTGATCAGACGGGCCCCACCAGGGACCTGGGGAGGAGGAGAAAAGAAGCTGTATAATCTGATAAGGCGGTATGCCTCATGGACCATTTGGAAGAGAAGATGTCAGTATACAACAGAGAAGAGACCAATGCGCAGACAAGAAGCAAGAAGCATCCTCCTCGACCTATTCGAGACTGACATCAGAGCACAACAGAAGAAAACAAGGCAGCGCATGCAACAGGACATGGGGACCGCTCAAGAAATCCTTAAGAGGTTTGAACAAACAACCCTGTGTAAGGGGAAGGTGGCAATGATAGAAGGGGCAAGGATCATATTCGAATGGGGAAAGGAGGGGGAGCAACTGGCAAGGGAAGCCCACAAGGTCGGGTCAAGGAGCCATCACATCTCCACACCATGAAGCTGGACACTAAGAGAAGGGAACAAAAACAAACAGGGTAAGAGGATAGAGCTCGGGGCCCAGGCTTAAACGGACAGGGGCAGGAAGAAAGAAGAGAGAGTGGAAGGGAGGAGACAAAGGAGGAAGAAAGATCGGAGGACCAAAGATTAAAGAATAAGCTCAAAATAAAAAGGAAAGTCAGTTAGGGTTTAGGGTTTTAGGAGGCGGGGAGGGGGGTTATTTAAGAAGAAGCATAAAAAGGAACATGAGCGCAACAAGAGGTAATCCTAGATTAAGACAGTCGAGGGAGGGACGAGAGAGAAGGAGAAAAGGTGAGGATAATAGGGGGACAAGGTAGGGTAGAAAGGAGGAAAGGGGCGTACATAAGCTCGTAAGCGAAATAGGGTAGCTACTTAGATCATAGTGGGAGATGGGAGGACAGGATAGAAACAATTAGGGTTCAGGGTTTAAGCTTAGGGGGATGGGGTACACGGTTTACTCAAGGGAAGGTTCTCATCTTCGGGTCCCAGGAGATGCCGTTAAAAGCATAACACTGGGCAAAGCTCCCAGATCCGGTCTTTATGTGGGTTGGCCGGCCCCTTTTCTGAGTAAGGAATGCATGTTTTTTAATTCTTAAAAAAAAAAAAATGTCCCCACCATAACAAAATATTTTTATTCTCGTGTTTATTTTTTTTCTCGAATTTGGTTGTGAATTTCGACACGACCGTCAGGCAAAAGTTTTTTCTTTTTGGACCATTTCTCGGTTTATGCGTGTCATCCTTGCGCAGGGGCCACGCTAGTCTTCTCTGTATAGTTCCAATTTTTTTTCATTCCAATTTCAACGGATGTCCCGAAGGACAGGCAAACGTTGTTTGTATTGCACTGTTATACAACTTTTTTTTTTCGGAATTTGAATTTTCTGATTATTTTTGAAAATTAAAAATTGCAAAAAATTGAATACAACATACGTACGTTGTATTTGAATACAACCTACGTACATTCTATTCGGGAAAAAACAAGCCATTTATGAAAACCGGATTTCCACAGGTTATTTGAATAGAACGTACGTACGTACGTACTTTTTTTTGGGTTAAGAAGGTCGGCGTAAATGGGGAGCAGAGACAGGAAAAAGTTTTGAAAACACAGATGACAGTTAAAAGAGATTCTGAAATGTGAAGTCTACCTGCTTCACGTGGAATGGAGAACAAGGCAGAGATGACGAGAGAGAAAAAGTGGGGAGCAGAGATACAGGAAAGAGCTTGGAAAACACAGATGACAAATGGATAGAAATAATGAAAATGAAGGCTACCTGGTTGACGTGAAATGGATGATAACAAGGAGATTAAGAGAGTGAAAAGGGGAGAAAGTACCTGCTGTATTCCACCGATCATCTTCATCGCGGATGAAACCACCAGCTTCACCAAAGTGATCGATACCACTCCCTTTACCGCTGCCATTGCCACCACCACTGCCGCCAGCGCAGCCACCATCTGCAGATCTCCTTCGCTCTTTTCCACACTGATGAGGAGAAAGAGTGGTCGCAGGGCCATAAGCAAAAGGACCAGAAAGAGGAGAAGGGCCAGTAGAAGGAGCAGCAAAAGTAAGGGTAGGGGCAGGAGGAGTAGCTCCAGCAGCAGCAGTAGCACCAGTAGCAGAAGGAGGCGGAGGATGAGGAGGAGGGGGATTTTTCTTCATGTGTCGCTGCCAGGCTAGGGCCGCACACAACAATGCCAACGATTTGCCTGATCCAGTCGGCGATTCCAGGATGGCATTCACATTTTTCTCCCGTCGGGTCGCTTCCAGCGTCGCCAAGACTTTGTGCATAAACGCCAGCTGTGACCCGTATGGCTCGTAAGGAAACCGCACAGGCACACCGGATATGGTAAATCCTTTACCGGTCGGAGTGTCTTTCAGAGTCCCAGCAGGCACTACAGGCACGATACTTGGTCGTGAGAGGCCAACTCGCCGAGGAGGACCTGGTCGAGAAGGCCCAGCACCATCTTTCTCCCTCCTCTCTGCCATGGGCTTCCATGAACTGTCCCCACCTCCCTGATACATCTCAATCCCACTCCGGCCTCCTCTGCTGCTCCCTGTCCAATCAGAAACACAAAACCAACTTCTACCTACCAGACCGAACTACGTCAGCACATTTTCTTCACCACAGAAGTTATAAACAAAAACGTCCGCAGTGACTGCGCGCTAATGCCACCACTTGGTTCAGCCCGTTTACCAATCATCATCTTGTCCTTAAAATTGCTTCGAAGTCAGCCTTGAACTTCCCTGCCACGTCAGCACCTCATGCCTCCCTTCCACATCAGCATGGAATGACCCCCTACCACGTCTGCACCACACTTCCCTGCCACTTCAGCACCACAAGTGTCCCTTCCATGTCAGCATGGCATGGCTCCTTGCCACACAGCCCAAGTCCCTCCAGCACATCAGAGGTTGCAAATACTCCCACCACATCTAGACCGCATTTTCCCTGCCATGCCAGCTTCGCATGTCCCTCTGCCACGTCAGCATTGCCTGTCTCTCCGACACGTCACCATCGCATCTCACCGCCGCATCAGCATTTCACGGTCAGATTCAGGTTCTTAGCACAGCACAACAGCACTGCTCAGCTTCTTCTCACTGGCGCACTCCAGCAGCTTGTGTTTGACAGTGCCGCGTCGGCATCCTCTCATGTGCACCGCGGTTCCTCCCTTCTTTTCTCCTTTTTTTAATTCCTAATTATCATTCTTTCAGTTCTCATGTTCACAAGCAGAATGTCGTAACAATCCCCCCGCTAACACGCGACGTACAGTTTTTGGGCATTTCGTTGTTATCCCCTCTCCCCCGTCACTCACCCTTGGGAGTCTCAACAGACCAAACTTCGTTGCCGCCCCTTCTCCCCCTTCACTCACCCTTGGGGAGTTCCAACTGACCAAACTTTGTTGTCGCCTCCTCTTCGGCCAACTTCAGCTTGCAGGCAATTCTTCCCTTAGCGGGGCGTACTCGGACCAAGAGACTCTGAAATGAATGTAGTCGTCAACATGGTCAGATAGGTCGCTGAAAAGTCTCCTGGCGAGAAATACGCCCTTGATCTTCTCCTGCCTCCTGCAAAAACTAATCAAGACCAACCGACACCATCACATGTCACACACAATTCATTTCCTCCGCCACATGCAATGCATTTTAGATTTGTTTTCCCTTTCTTTCTCTCTCCCATACTGCCAATGTTGTACACGACAATATTTGCACTTGCGATCTGTGCTTATCGCCAGCTAAAAAAAGAAGTGTGTACAGATCAATCAGTCATCACGCAGGTACACAACTGATGCATTTCCATAATAGGTGGTCCAAAGCCCAAAGTATCACTGTCCTTTTCCAGAATAAGTCCAATTTTGTACCCGACAACGCCAATTTAGATTTCTTTTTCCTTTCGTTTTCTCTTCTTTTTCTTTTTCCTCTCGTTTTCAGTTCCTTTTCCTTTCATTTTCTCGCCCCTAATGCCAATTTTGTACCCGGTGATTTTAACTTCTGATCTGTGCTTATCGCCAGCTAAATGTGTGTAAAAAATACTACAAAATTAGTACAAATCAATCAGTCATGAGAGGCAGTTAACGGAGGTCTCAATTTTCAGACCACTTCTCAGGCCATTTATAACAAAACCCAAGGGTCATTTTAACCAAACCTGCCACCAATTCATGGAGTGGAGATCATACTAACTACTTGCAAAAAACGAATTGAAAAAAAAACTTTAAAAACCTATAAAACAGCAAGGCAAAAGTGTGTTTTCATGCAAAATTCACTCTTTTCAGTTTTCAGGATTTTCAGGATTTTTCAGGGCTAGCCAAAACAGTCAACTCCAAGACCCCAACAAATACCAAACTTGGCACACACAGACTTTGACCAAAAAAAAAACAGGGCAAAAAAAAAAAAAAACAGAAAAAAACAAAAAAAAATGATCTCCAATGCACTTTTCAGGGTTGACGGGGTCAACCAGGGCTGAAAAGTGGGGGTCCCTGTTAACCGCTTATGTCTTCTGCCCCCTTCCCTTTCACCATTTCCGACCATTCAATTCCCATGGTCTTCTCCCTTCAACTCCACGACCACCAATGGTCCTCTATGTGGTAATGTATCTGACCAGCTTTTCTCGACGGGTTCATCAGTGTAAGTCCTTGCTCCACTTATCAACGGTCTGAATGTATCCAGACAGAACAGTCGGCGATATAATTGGATTGATGGATGACTTTATCTCAATGATTACGAGACCCAGATACATTGAGGATGTTGTGTACTGTGCAGAGAGAGACAGAGAGAGAGAGAGAGAGAGAGAGAGAGAGAGAGAGAGAGAGAGAGAGAGAGAGAGAGAGAGAGAGANAGAGAGAGAGAGAGAGAGAGAGAGAGAGAGAGAGAGAGAGAGAGAGAGAGAGAGAGAGAGAGAGAGAGAGAGATGGAGGGAGGGAGGCAGGGGGAAGCAGGGAGAGAAAGAAAGAGGGATAGAGAAAAGAGAGACGGGGTGTGTGTGTGAGAGAGGGAGAGAAGGAGGAAGGAGGAAGGAAGGGAATGGGTAAGGGAGCGAGGAAGGGAGAGGGAGAGAGAAAGAAGCCCACAGAGAGAGAGAGAGAGAATGAGGGAGGGAGCGAGCAAGTAGGAGAGGTGTTGGAGGGAGAAAATGGGCAGCAGATGATATCGGTGCTCCCTGTTTTATTTCTGTTTCAATATTTCGATCAATTTGTTTATAAATCTGATGCTGAAATTGGATGGAGGTGGAGAGGAGGAAATTAAAAAATTGAGGTTTGCGTGCGGTTTTTGAGGAGTGGAGTCTGCGGAGGAGAGTCGAAGGGAAGGGTATTGGTGAGGAGGAAAGCTGATATCTGTTTCACCCGTTTCTCCCACGCTCCCGTCTCACCCTGCTAAGCCTGCTTTCTTCAAACCTTTGTTCAGAATTGATCCCTTGGGCTGGACCAGTCCGAGGCGAGAAGAGGGGAGGTATACGGTGAGAGTAGATCGCGTGGATTGGAAGAGAGGTGTTTTTAAGTCACTTTTCCCTTCCCACTTCATACCTTCACACTCAGAACGCCAATCCACCTCGCTGCAATGCCCAGCCATATTAGACCGTAAGCGACTAGTCGTGAATAGAGAGAGAGGAGAGAGGCGAGTAGGAAGGCGCAGGACAAGCTTTTGTACGGAAGGAGAGAGGGGAAGGAAAAGACACTGCATCTAGAAGGACGGGCAGGAGAGACGAGGTGGGGAAGACTTCCAAAAGAAATACCCCCGAATTACACCAGAATCACTCAGGGAAGGACCACCGGGTAAAGACGAAGAAGTGGCGATCTATTGTCCCCTCCCGTCACCCACAGCTCCCCATCTTCCCTCATCAGCCCTTAGTGCCCCTTCTGTTCTCACCAATTCTTAATAGGAGAAGAAAACGAAAGTGAAAAGGAAGGAAGGGAGGACCCATTAGAAAGATCGAGTGGGGCAGACAGAGTTAAAGGAGCTGGACCCGGGCTGAGAGACGGAGGGAGCAAGGAGTGGTTAGTCAAGAGCAAGGAGGAGGAAGGAGCCAGCATGACGATTATAAAGGGAAAGAGTAAGTTGCAGAGAGTGCACAGAAGAATGGATTCCATGCTCATGTACAAAGGGGTGGCGAGACATTATTCTCAGGGGCGTCTCATGGGGGCTGGCCTCCCACACAATGAAGAGGCCAAGGCAGGGGAGGTTCAGAACGGTGCAGGGGGAGGTAGTCAGGAGGACCGGTCGGAGGTCAGAAGCGAGCCGGCGGATCAGGCCAGCTCGTCAGGAAGGCAGGAGAATTCGGGAGCCAGGTCGTGGGCGGAAAGGGTGGGGAAACCATTCTCAGAAGAAACAATCTCAATCCAACAAAAGAAAGAGGGAGAAGGGACAGGTGAAGGGGAGGCATGGAGAATCCCGTTGGGAAATCTAACGTCAGCTGGGGTTTTCTTTCTAACCCGCCTCCTTGCCACCTCAGAAAACAAAATACTGCATCAAGGCGAAAGGCCCACCGTAGTCACGGCTCTCCCCGAGGAATCAGTGAAAACGCGGGACGAACTTTATACACGCCACACAAGTAACTGGGCGTTTCACGAGGATGCAGCGTTTAAATCAACAAACGATAAGGTCAACTAGATTAGGGAAAGACTGGGGGCATTAAGGGTTCCCAGGAAGGTGCACATGAGTTTTTTTTGATACAGCCAGTCTCTTCATCCGTTATCACAGTTATTTGCATGGTTGACTCTGACAAAAGGGCAATGGATGGGTGGAGATCACTCCGCTGTGGGGGTCAAAAGTACGAATTTACCCCTGGTCTCCCCCAAAACAACAAAGACCGGAGGAACGGAGGGAGCAACTGATGAGGGAGCACTTTTGGGTAGAATTCAGGCACATCCCGATTGAGATTCAGGTGGCCTTCGTGCAAGATTTCGCAGAGAAATTTGATGTGGTCAATTTTATTGACCCCCTTCCACCACATGTAGCACGAAGAGACGACTATCTCATGCTGGCTATAAATCTGTCCGAGGGTCAGATCTTCACCATCGACGACATTATCCCGTACCGAATTGGTGGGAAAATGTACTGCATCCATACTGCCCACAAACATCGGCCCCGGTGCTTTAAATGCGAAGCGTATGGGCACTTATACACAGACACGGCTTGTACCCGCCACCCTTCTCGAGCAGCAAAACCCACAGGCCATCTGCAGAAAGACCTCTTTACAGAAACACGATAGCGAACAGTTGATCCGGGTCACGAAGGGTGGGTGTACATAGACGCAACTGGGAAGGAGGGGGAGGGGGGTGATGTTGTGGGATGGTCATGGGAGGGGCAAGGTGAGCCCTGTCAAGACACCGAGCCACCAGAAACATGGGTCCCCCGGAGGACCTTGGAATCCCACCTTCAGCGACCGGCTTAACCCTCGACGGCCGGAAAAGGGGATTCATGGGAAGAGGTCAGGAGGAAAAGGCAGGGGAAGAAAGCGCTAGCAACAAAAGGTCTCGTGGCTGAAGGAGGGCCTAGTAGCAACAGATTCGCCCCTCTTGGGGAGAGGTCAAGCCAGCCAAATCCGGAACAAGAGGGAAGATCACAGCAAAGCACGAGGAAGGAAAAGGCTGTTGGCAATAGTCAGATGGTATCAACAAACATGGTGGTATCCAAAGCCCTTGACGGTGAAGGATCGATCGAG